TTGTCTGTATTTGACCACAAAATATGACCTAAAAATTATTCCCATTTTAGCAAAAACAAATCGATGGCTTTTCAGATTCTAAAGAAAAATAGATAATACAGAGAATAACAGGAAGAAGACACTTGAGCTATTTTTGTGGCTGTGTGTGTTTATAGACAGAACCATCCAGATGATGCTGATCCATATTGATGCGTGACTGTTAAGGTGGAAACAGAGTCTTCTTTACTGGAGGGAAAAACAAGGATAAATTCCACAAACCCTAATACTGTGAGGAGAAGAAATTTTTGGGATCCAGGGACTTTGGGGTGCTAATATTTAGTGATTAGGCAGGTTGAAAAGCTCTCAAGAGATACTGCAGGAAGTCCCATATAAGGACATCTCAACATCTTTGTTCAGTTGTTTACAACTGATTTTGTAGCAATGTGTATATAGGTAAAAAAATAAAAAGATTGGGCCCTGGGGAAGGTACTCTGTGTATGTATATATATATATATATATATATATATATATATATAATATATATACAAATCAACTCACAAATGCACACACACACACACAAACACACACACACATCCATACACTTACTGTGAATGGACACATTTATGAAAGAAAGTTGGTGTTCTCAAACTGCCAAGAAAGAATTTTGCCACCATAATTGATGGAAATGGAGTGTCTTGGGACAAGATTGGCAAAAAGTGCCTAAAGAGAATGTGAGACTTAGATTTCAAATTGCCTGTGTGTAATACCAAGGTTTTATTTGCCTACATATTTTGGTAATTTAAAAGAATTCTGGGTACCTACATCCTTTGGGCTGTAGAAAATAACTGCATTTTCCCTTGTCCCAGAAAATCTGCCATTGAATCCAGGTGCAAGAACAGTAGAGGAGGCCTTGCACTCTTCTTGCACATACCCAGGCTGGGATGTTTTGTTCTTCTTTGCTCTTAACAGGAAATGTTGAGTGAATCTCACAGGAATGGGGAGACCAGCTGCCCACAACAGATTGTTGTGGCTGGTCTTGCCAACTCTTGGTGTGAATTCAGGAAAGGGAACTGCCCTGTTGGCTCTGGAGCTCAAGGGTGGCACAAAAATGATCCAACAATGTCTGTGAGCTCTTAGTTCCTTATCACGCTACTCAAGGAACTTGCTGTTTGTGCCTAAGTGAGACTTGCAGCTTTAGGAGGAATAATCTTGTATATCTTGGCAACAGCTCTGACTTCCCCCGAGGTCTCAGTTATGCAAGACCCTGTTGCTTCACACATTGTCTGTGCCTGTGGAACGGTGTCAGGGCTTGAGCAGCCTCCGGGCTGTGGTCACTAGATGGCAACATGATCACACACACAGGCGCGTTTCCTCTTCCCTTCCTTGGAAGACACTCTTGTGGAAGGACCAAGGACCGGAAGATTGCATTCAACTTCCTTGATGCCTCAAAGCTTTCTAAGATGGCAGTCAGGGAGTAGAGCCTCACAGGAGAGGTGTTTTGTCAGACACAGCATCTGCAAGCTGCTTCATATTGCTAAATTCTCAATGTCTTCAAAGGGTCTCATCATCTGCCTTTAGAGAGTTGTAGTGAAGAAAAGAATTTTGTCCTTCTTGGTGATCCTTAACACAATATCGTTAAAACATTATTTTCAACTTTATGTTTAAGTCTGTTAAGTCTGCATGTCTGTTTGCACAGGAGTGCATTTATGAAACAGTTTTTACCTTGTGCCTAGATATTTAGAAGATCAGCCTCTCTGGGCATCAGGGTTCAAGTTTTCTTGTAGGCTGTTGATAGTGCATTGCTGTATTCTATCTTAGCTCAGTGGAAAGGGGGACAGCAACCCTGGCACATCTAATTGTCACTTGCAGGTCTGCTTTTCTCCCAGAGTTGGAGCATCCTGTTTGCTGGAAGAGCTGCAGTCTCAAGTCCTGCTGAGGGAACATTAGGAGTTAGCAATGGACATTGCTGGTGGAAGAAGTATAAAATACACAGTTTTTAAAAATTTTAGTATAAACCAGATATTTTTTATTTTATTATGTAATTGCCATCACAATTATGCAAAGGTTTCTACAACAGCTAAAAATTTTCCTCTGCATGAATCTTGTTCCTGTCCTTTTCCAAGCTATGGGGTCAGCATATTTAACAACTGCCATGTTCAGAGGTAATGAAATTAATACATTGAAGGCTACTGGAATAACTCATGTCTTTATACGTGATTACATTATTTCTTTGGCTGAAGACACTGGTGCCTCTTTTTTAAGATGTGTCAGAATATTTATCAATTTTTTGGAGGACACATACCTTGTAAATACTCTTAGACATGTCTCCACTTTCCAAACTAATCATCAAGGGAATGAACATTCATTAGCTTTGTATTTACAGTAAGTGGATCACAAAATATTGGCAGGGCCTAGACATTTGTGTGCCAGCTGACTTGGAAACTTTTGGTGGCTGAACCTTTCAGAGTGATTGAAATTAATGGGAAATGACTTCAGGGGCAGGACTTCTGTCTGGGTCTGTTACCAGCTGTAGAAGTAGTACCTTGCGAAGGTGAATTAGTCACCAAGTACAGATAACTTCTCTGTGCCAATACGCTGCCATCAATCTGAAGTATTTTGTAAAGAAAAATGTCATCTTTATTGTGCAATGAACACAGTGTTTTCTCTCTGCTAGGCTATTTACCTGAGACCTTTTTGCACCTTCCATCTCCACAAAAGACACACTTGTCTGCCTGGCCTTCAGTGGGTACTGTAGGTACAAAACAGTTACTGCTTTCAAACTTAAGCAGGTGCATTCTTCCAGGCATGTGAGAAATCCTGGAAACCAACATTTCCTGGTGTACTGGTCTCAAACAAGGGCATCATCTTCATGTGCAGCCTTACAGAAAGGCTCTTTGCAGATCCCCAGCCATCTCACTCGCTCTCTTCCAGCGATGCATTCATCCTCCACTGAGACTTCTGCCACTGAGAAACACAAGGGAGCAGGAGGAAACTTAAGGGCATGTGTAATGCCAAGTCTACCTTCCTCCTTCCAGAAGGATTTCTAACTTCAGTGTTGCTGCAGTGATGGATTCATTCAAAGACTATCGTTCTCTTGCTCTCCTGACCAGTGTCCTCTGTTTCACCTTAGAAATTGTTTCCTATGCCAGCCATTCTTCGGGAGGAAAAACTACCACCTGTAATCCAGCTGCTGTAGCTAGTCAATATACTATTATTGCCTGTTCAAGTTATTTGATCTTTTTGTCTTCTGACATCTTCACTCTGATCCACCTTATTTTTCACTCCAGTTAACAATAATAGGAATTAGTAATGGAGAAATGAGCTCTTTACCCCTTATACTTTCTTGTGCCTCCCAGGCATAATATGAACTTGGTGGTTCAGTTGGAACCTTGTGCAGGAGGGCAGAGTTAAAACCTGATTCAGAAGTCCCCAATTTTATTTTACTTTATTTTTTAACATTTCATTATAGCCCCATATGAGTATATGCCTGAGAGAAAGCGTAAATGCACAGAGCCAGATTTTCCTTGGAGGGCTCTATTCTGCACGAGGTGTTAAACAGCTGCACAACCACAATATCTGCCTGGAGAAATCCTACTGCAATAAATGGAATTACCTGCATGGTGTAAATAAGAGCAGATTCTAGCCTTAAGGCTACTTGCAGTTATTTTGATTTTCATTGCTGGCCAACAGATGAATACTCTTTCCCACAACAGCCTGCCAATAAAATAGCACTGTTGTTATGAGTCTGATGTTTTCCTGTCTTAATTAATTGAAATTTTTATTAAAATTCAGTGGTCATCCAGAAAATGCCAAAGTATTTGGGAAGCTTTTTTTACCTCATTTTAATTGTTGTCAGTGCTGTTCAAGGTATATGCTGTAAATTGAAAAAAAAGTGTGATACCTTTTGATCAAATCTCAAACTGAAGAAAGCTTGCCTGATGCTCTAAATAATAATTTTTTAAAAAATCATGGCTATTAATTTATATAATGTATAGGTCTCAGAATTCATCATGTGTGCTGTTGAGGCCTTCTCTTACAGGAAATGATAAATGTCATCTCTATTTGCTAATTCATCTCTTTTTAGCTGGATTCAAAGGCTGATGATTCTCAGCTGTAAGGAAGTGTCTCTGTGACACAAGCTCAATATTTCTGGGTGTTGCATTTATTAGAGGAAATGCTCACTAGACAGAAAAAATGACTGCAGAAGCTTTGCCAAAGTATCTTAGGGGGAAATCTTCAGTATTTTGTGTATTTATTCAGAAGAAAAAAAGAGAGCACAAAACTCCATTGATTTTTGTTATTCTCTTTTGATATCAAGTACATGCAGTGTACAGTGTGAAGGAGGGATACATGTATTTTGAAGCTGAATTTCCAGGGATAGTTTAGATTGTGCTGATTTTGGTAATATGACAACAGAGGAACATGCTGGCCCCAAATGGGCTTTTTCAGAAATGTGAGCAGGAAGAAAATTGGGCCAGAGGTTTCAGCTGGCTTTTCTTAACCTGTACTTCAGTGTTTGCATGCTTAGGTGTCTTTCCATTAAAATAGCAGGGATGCTCCAAGGTAAGCTAATTCCAAAATGCTGGCAGCTTTGTATTTTTTGGCAAGTCTGCATTTCATGGATAATAAGCTTTCCTCAGGCTTTCATTTTTTGGCTGTGAAGGTGATTCATCCAAAAGAGAGCCCTGCTAGTACTGTGTGGAAATCGGCTTCAGAGCTCATTGGCGCTGGGCACTTCAGACAAGCTTTTAGTGTGTGAGGAGCTGATCTGCTTATGGCCTGCAGAGCTGCTGCCAGCTCCCTGTGCTCATGTAAGGAGGGCACAGGTTTGGTGCTGACAGGCAGCAGAGGATGATGCTGGAGCTGCTGCCCTGTTTTCCCTGACTGGAGACACGACAGTTTCTCTGTCTTTGCAGAGGCTGTGTGAAGTTGTTCAGTATTTATTTGTAAAGCCATGTGGGGAGGCACATTCCCACCCCCTACCAGGCAGAGGAGCATTAAGTCAGCCTAGGAGTTCTATGCAGTGTGAGGAGGCTGGGCTATAAAAAGATGTTCAGTTGGAGCGGAGTGGGATGGCAGTGAGGGTTCTGGAGATTGGGTCTTGTGTTTGAGGTGCAGTCCTGAGACTACCAGGCAGCAGAAGCTGTTTTCTGAAGGGTGAGCAAACTGTTGTTAATTCCACTGGTTGTGTGGGAGCTGATGGGGATGTGCTGTGTGTGCCAGCTGATGGTGGTGGGCGGTGGTGGGGCTGAGGACATGGTGGATTTTATACCCTCAGGTACTTCAGGTGAAGCTGTGCTGCTTCTTGGGTAGATGAAACTATTTGCAGGACGTTGTCAGAGTTCTGTGAGTGGCTGTCTGGCCATGGGGCAAACTGAGCAGAGACATGGAGTGTGTTGGCTCAGATGCAGGAGTGAGAATAGTTACATTTCTTTCAAGAGCAGCTTGATGCCAGAAGTGGTGGCATTGCTGTTAAACACCTCTTGAGCAGTTAGCTGAAAGAGCTGGTGACTCTAGAAGTGGGACCACAGGCAGAGACAGCCTGGTCCTGTGTACTGTGGCAGAAAATTCTGATTCTGACTGTACTGAACCTGATCTATCTCTTTGTACTGTTGCTTTACCTGAGCAATCAGTGATTCCCATGTATGGCTTGGGATGGGTGTTGTTGCAAGGATTAGGGGGCCTGATGGATCTAAGCCAAATCTGAGTGGTCAGTTTGCTTGCTGTGTGCTCCTTGGTGTATCCCTTATTTTTCATGTTATCTGGAGTTTGCTGTTGCAGGGTTTTTGTTAGGGCCAAATCTGAGTGGTCAGTTTGCTTGCTTTGTGCTCCTTGGTGTATCCCTTATTTTTCATGTAATCTGGAGTTTGCTATTGCAGGGTTTTTGTTAGGGGAGTTATCCCTGTCCTTTGTTACTCTTGTTACAAATTATACTGTTTATTGCATTATGTAACTATAAAGATATACAATTACACAATCTGTCTTCGTACTTTAAAATAGTAACCCTCCAACATGAAGCTGCTTACAGAAAAACTAACTTTGCATGGCAGATCTTCTCCTAAAGAAAGCTCAATTATTTCTAAGATATGTGTTCTTTTAAAGCTGTCAAGGGCTAGGATAATATTAAATACATACAAACAAATGTGTACTCGATTTGATACTTGGGTGTCTGGTTGTGTACTGAAGTAGTGCTGTGAAATAAATGTGTGGAAAAGCTAATTGACTTTGACATGTTAAACATGTTGGATAAAAGCTGATCGAGGCTGTAGAGAGTTCTGGTAATAGCAGAGAGTACCATTATGAATAATCAGCCTTTTTTCTAGATAGCAGTTTCATTCTTAGGCAGAATAAATGATTTTGCTCTCAAATGTACTGTTGCTGCACTTTTCTTCATCTCTTTCTCTCTCACACTGATTGAAAGCTCTGGTGAATTTTATTTGATTCCCCCACATGGTAAAAATTTGCAATGGTATGAAAGTTATGAGAGAACAATTCTACTTAAAGGAAAGGTTGAAATGATAAATGAATTAATTGACAGGCAGCTGAAAATAAGTCTTCTGGTCATCTGAAAAAATGATCTGCTACAAATACAGCTGTAGTGGCTTTTAGCAAATGCCAGACTAATGTGAAAAAATGTGTTTGGACTAACTTTTTGCAGCTCTACAAACACACAGTGCTCCAGCACTTGGCTCCCTCTTAACTGAAGGGTAGAATGTATTCTATTCAGAAAGAGGTTGCCAGAGTTTGCAGTCCTTTTAGTTTTCATTGCAAGTTTAGGCTATTGTCCTTCAATTCCAAAGGATCTTCCATGTTCTTGTGAGCACCTTCAAAGTCACACATACTTGTAGGAGACTTTAAAACCCTGGAATGCTTTTGTGTCATCCACCTCTTCCACTGCCTGTTGGTGGCAGTCACATCCTGGGGTCCCAGGCTCTGATTGCTTGAGCAAGGAAGGAATTTCCCAGATGTCATGACCAAGCCAAGAAAGTAAGTTAATCTTGCCTCTGTAACAAGTCCCAACCTGTAACAGGAGCTGGGATGACTGAAGTCTGTAGTCCATAGGGTTGGAGATGGCAAATCTGGAACAGCCTCAGGGAAGAATGTTGGCAGATGGAGGGGAGGCAGGAAGGGAGTTTATACTGGTGTGGTTGCTGCTGCTGGAGTTGTTTTAGAAGACATGGTAGTTTTACAGAACCTTTCTACTTCTGCCTTTCTCTCTGGAGAGAGTAATCCAGTTTTTACTGATCTGTATGATATTGGGAAACTGTCTCTACTAAAGTTCTGTGCATACTTTGGATAATCCTTGGCGTTTACTCTCTCTTTGGACAGAAGGTGTTGAGAATATTGTCTCTTTCAAGCTGAGAAGAAGAAGAAGATAGAAATTTCTTTCTTTCTTTCTTTCTTTCTTTCTTTCTTTCTTTCTTTCTTTCTTTCTCTCTCTCTCTCTCTCTTTCTCTCTTTCTCTCTCTCTTTCTCTCTTTCTCTCTCTCTTTCTCTCTTTCTCTCTCTCTTTCTCTCTTTCTCTCTCTCTTTATCTCTTTCTCTCTCTCTTTCTCTCTTTCTTTCTCTCTTATTTCTTTCTCTTTCATTTCTTTCTAGTTCTGTTTTTATGGCTGTTCTCATGTCTGTTTTTTACCATCTATAAAGTCTGGTTTGTTTATAACTCTGTTTTCCTTATTGTTTGAGAACAAGACTGGACACAACCAAAATTCCCCGTGGCATCCCTGGAGACACATCCTCCCTGCTCTGTGCTTGTAATCCTTTGTTTATGGTATTTCAGCCAATTCTCGATTAAGGATCATGTGACAGTGTTTATATTCAAACTGAATGCAATTAATAAGTGTCAAGACATCATGAAATGCTGTGTGAGTTGTGTGCTAAAAGACAAATGTTCTATATCTAGGCCTTTTCCTTTAGGCACTAATTAGATAATATATGTTTGAAAGGGTTGAGTCTGTCAGTCAAGCCATAGATCTGTAAATCCATGTTGAAATTCATATGGCAACACTCATCAAAAACACTTAAATGTGTACTTAAGTTTTTTCTCTGTTCAATCAAGTACATAAGCATGTGCTTAAGATTTGGGTCTCCAGGCAGACCTGTAGATATTAATGAATAAATGTTTCTCATCTCTATCCTCCAGATCTCCATCTTGCTACCAGGAAAACGGAAGCCTTTATTTACCAGGAGCAGAGTAATTCCAAATTTGAAACTTCAATAGATATTTAGTGTTCTTACTTAAAGCATTGGAGTTTTTAAAAAGAGTGCTTAGGAATGCAGTTGCTTTCCTGTCTTTTAGATGTAGTTAAGGTCCTTTATGGCAAGTAATAGAACTCATCAACAAAACCTTATCAGTGTCTCCATTTCACATCGAGGACTATTTGTGGCAACCTTTTCCATTGGCCCCTTAATAGTTCATTTTGAAGTCAATTTTACTAAATTTTGGTACATGGCCTTTTCATTCTCCTGAGCTGGAAAATAAGAAGCCCTAAGACAGAATGCAAGTGTCACTCAAACTGACACTGCAAATTTACAGAGGACTTCTCAGTTCCCAGAAGAATTTGGGCATTTACCTGTGAGCAAAGTGTCAAAGGACCTTTGAATATTGCCTGTATGGCAAGGAAAGGACAGCCTTGAGGCATTTAAGAGCAAACCTGTCACTTTTGGGGGTAGTTAGGCCTGCTGGTGCTCCTGGCTGGCTTGGATAGGCAGTCTTTACCATGGCTGTGTAGATTCTAGGCAGTTTGGTAGGGGTGCCCAGAACATCCTTCTCTTTTGGGCTAAAACTGCCACTATCTCACTTATATGCGTCTTTTTTTTTTTTTTTTTTGCCTGAAACCTCATCCTCCAAAAAACTGCAGGCTATAAACTACTAACATTTTTCAGGAAGGAAAGAGTAAGAAGTAAGAAGTGAAATAGATTCAAAGAGGGTGAGATAAGTTTAGCTGTTCTAGAGGACCAAAATGGAAATGAAAGCTTGACTGGGACAAAAACTAAGGTTTCCACTTGAGTCAACCAACCACAACTCTTGAAGAAAATTAAGCTCCAAGTCCTGAGTGGTTCTGGGAACTGGTATTCAGAGTACCTGTTTGAACATGGTGACCCACATCTGGAACAGCTGTAATGCTATAAGCTAAGCTTATGTAATTATAACACAACCACTCTGAAATCTTTCTGTCTATTCTGTCAGGACTCACATGTTTCTCTAAAAAGCAGAGTTAATACATTTAAAGACAGTGGCCACTACTTGGCCTGCCAACACAGCCTAGGCTACTGTTAGGATGAAGCTATGGGAATTTGCTTCTGCTTTGCACTCCCAAAGGGTATTGGGGACCAAAAATTGTTAATGGGTAGAACTGAAAACATGTTTCAGATCTTCTTGCTAGTCCTTTCCAAGGATTGTCTGTACTGCCCCAGGGTGCTGGCATTATGGTCCTGAAAGAATGGATGGTTTAAAGCCTGAGGGAGAACAGGCTTGCATCCTCCAGAAGTCTTTTACAAAAAACTCCAAGAGGAAAATGTATTCATGTGATACAGTACTATGCTGTGACCAAGTCAGAGTCATAGTTCTTCATGAGAGTTCAAGAAGCCATCAAGTGAGTCCAAAATGTAGTTATGAAACAAGAAGATCAAATTCATAGCATCATTTCAGAATGAGATGACAAGGAGGTCTGAATTAGATTTTGGTGACCTCCAACACAAATTGAGGGTAAGTCAGTGACTGGTGGTGTAAAATCTAGTGGGTGATTCCACTTCTTGCTTCCTCAGCTGACTGTTGTATCCTGATATGAGGCAGCTGAGTTTCACCCAAGGCATATTTTAGTCAAGGTAAGCTTTTCTGAGAGCTCTGAGCAAGTCCTCAGGGACATACTTGACTTTGTGCTGTCTGCTGATGCCCCAGCATGCTCACAAGAGATGTTGTTTTGTTCAGTTGAGTGCTGTTAGCAACAGGGCTGGAGGCCAAGCTACCAAAACCCTTATGGCTGGGAAATAGGCAGTGAACTGGCAAAGGCCTATGAATACGTGCAATTTTTAGCACAGTTTGGAGGCAGGCCTGTCTCATGTGATGGTGAGTAACCCAGTACGATTTTCTGGCAAGTGGCGACTCGATGCCAGCATTGTGAATAATCCAGGGCAAAGCAAGGTCAAGTGTTCAG